CTAGAAGGCTTTGTTTGAGAGTTATTTAACGATATAGCTGAGTACTGCGGGTTGCATTTGTTATGAATACATTGATGTGTTTTTTAAATCAAATCTTTCATATTTTTAAAGTCAAAGTGCAATTCGTCACGTCTCCGTGCAATTATCTTTTTTAAAGATCTCATTTATAGAGATCATTTGCGTGTAAGAGTTGCAAAAGATAACTATACTACTGAAATAATATAGCAGACGATTTACCATGAGGAGCATAGAGAAGAAAAATAGGGAGGCAGGAATAGGGAAGGAGGTAGTTTATCACAATTTCACTTCACACGAACACGCTTTGACACACCTAACCAGAAATTGAAATGACCAATTACCATGGCGTCGTCTTAGTGAACGATTCTGCCGCTAGAGACGCTTCAGTCAATGGAAACTTTCTGCATGAAAAAGCGTTACAAGATTTTTCATTTTCTTGTATGCATTTCTGTCATTTGATTAATAAAGTACCAGGGTATAGATATGCCTCTCGCCATTAGATATAAATACTTTTAAATTAAAGTTCTTAAATCAATGTACTTAAATGTTTTGAGCATATATTTCGCCCATTTTATGCGATATGATAAGTTGATAGGTATATAAGATCATGTTTTAGATATTCCAGGAACTGACATCTGTCCATGGAAGTTTACCTTCCCATGATTTGATACGATCGTAAGGTGAATCCATGTGTCTGTGCCGGCAGAGTAGTGGCATTTAGCGACCGAATCAAAAAGTTAATTTCGCAAAAGAAACACTTTAAATTCTCGGTAAGTGGTGATAGTGTCACAAGATTGCAATTAAAATCACCCATCAATGACGTGTGTTCACATTTGCTTGCTGGTATAATGTCGGCCATGCGAAAACATGTAAAGGCATATCTATTTGTGGATTACTTTGCAAACTTGTGTAGTTATAAATGCATTAGTGTTATCTAAAGGCAACTCCAGTTCGCACTTGATAAACAATGCGAGCGGAGCATCTCCACCGGCTTCATTTCTGGGAATATAGTGGTGTGCTGCTTGTTATACCACATGCTAGCGACCCAGATCTATACCTTGGAGGCCAGCCGCTCCTATTCCCTCGATCCGCCACGCTCCTCGGACTGGCGTTTATAAAACCCTTACGTGGAGTGCCCAAATTTTGTCTGCAAACCAGATTCATCTCCCCTTTAATTACCTATCTATGCTGAGTGGAGCCTCAAAGATTCCAGACCGCATTTGTCAATTGCAGTTCAGAGTACTCATCCTCCCAGTTCTGGATTGCTATTGTATAGTATTTGGATCAGCTGCTTCCTCCACTTTTCTCCCATAACCATATCCACCACATCGGTATCCTATTTCCTCTTGTGCATATCGAATAGCAGGGATGACAGCCTTCTAGTTGATATCTGTGATCTATCCCTAAAACAAAAACGGCAAATCCAGTTAGATTCTTATGGTGTTGGCGTTCGTGGTATTTCGAATTATTCATCTGATTGAACTATGATCCTGGATATAAGGCCTCATAAGTACTTCGAAAACCCCTCCCCTGGCTTCCAGGTATCAATTTCAAAATCTGTTGCGGGATTTGGATAGCTTCTTCCGTAGCCCCGTAAAATCCCCAAGCAATCTCATTCCCCCTTGGAAACTGCTTCCTCCAAATATCAAACTTAGACTCCAACCTTCGCGAACAGACTCCCCCATGAATACCAGATCCAGTTTCACGAAATGAGGGTACCTCACCCCAATCGTAACACTGATGGCTCATCTTTCAATGTTGCAGTGGCACGCAATTTTCATTGTATTAGTCACCTACTCTTTTCGAATTAATATAGCATATTCACTGCTGAGATATATGCAATTCATGAAGTTCTTCAATGTAACTATACTCATTTTCACGTCGTGAAAGCACAGTAGGCTCTTATGGACATTGTTATTCCTATGGAAGAATCTCGTGCAGTTTTGCCAAATCGATTGTTGCAAAAGTAAGTAGAAAATCATAGTTCTGTAGAGAAAATGACGAGGAACACGATGGTAATCATGAAATACGTCTTGTTCATTTGCTTTTTAAATAAAATAATGAAAACGCTGGATTTCCACGAAACTGTCTTTGTCAGTACCTTTCTTCAGTCCGTTAAAATATATTCAAAAATTGGTGGAATTATTTTGGGAAAAATCGATACAATATTTCAGTCTCTTCAGCTGGGGGAAATGCTTTCAATCCATCAATACGTGAAATGGGTCTCTTAAAAAAATGAATTGTCAACGAAAATGTGTGAATCTTTAATTTGTGCATAAAAATATATCGTCGCTGGAATATTTTCGTTTTTGAAGCCCAATTAAATTCTTCCAGCGGCAAAGTTTTGGGTAAAATAGTGAAATTATTTTCTATCATAACCCGAACATCTTCGGATGCATTACTTCTGTGTATTTGATGTTCATTTAGAAGTCGAGCCGCGCGCTACGCGAGGCTCGACGGGAGAGGAAAGGATAAGACAAGGCACAGAGGCAGGATGTGTAACCCGTAGGGAAAGGAAGTGTTTTATTTATATGTCAAGAGCGGAAGGATCCATCCAAATCAAACTTGAATAATTCCAAATACGCCCTTTTGAGAATTTGCTGGGTGTTCTGGTCTATTTTTGCTGGTGGATGCGAGTAAAGATAGTGGAGATGCATTGGTAGAGAAAAGTAGGTACGCAATTTAGTCAATCGTGTAGTGGGTCAATTTTAAGAGATCAAAATAGATCGCAGGGGAAAACGGGTGTGAAATAATTAAATGTGATAAAGAAACATTTTCAAAATACTCGAGAACTTAAAAGGAAAACCTTAAAAACTGAGGTACTATTGGGAGAAGAGTATGGTTTCTTGAGCCCTGGGGTGTGTGTTCTAACAAATACATATTAACATAAATTATGAATACATAGAACGAGCGTTTTTGGCAGGAATTGATATGAACATATTCACTCCCGTATAATAAAAGTATTTGCAAAGGCAAATCATCTACTGATTTAGACTATTTTTCCTAGTGCTTTAAGTGACAAGTGACTTATTCAAATACATTCCCTATAGAGCTCGAGAAAACGTACACAGATAATGAAGCTACATTTATGTCATCGCAAAACGGGAGCATCTGAACATTTGCTGAAATGATTAGGAAAAACCTGATGTGGTGCCGCCACGCGCTGCCATCAGAGCCTGTAGACGTCGTGGAATGGATTGAAAGAGAGCCTGGATATGTTGCTGGAGAACACATCTCCACGCGGTTTCTACGCGTGACCACAAAATATCGACAGTGGCTGCATTAGGACCAGAGTAAACAAGTAGCCGACTGATCGTATCTCAGACATGTTCGATGGGCGACATGTCAGACGAACGAGCGAGTGAGTCAGGGAAGCAGTGGTACCTGTCGTTCTTCGCAGAAAGCTTGCACGTTCCTCGCTACATGAGGTCGGGTATTGTCCTGCTGTTATATGGCATTTGGAACTGCTTGCAAGAGGGACAAAACTTGGGGCTCCAAAACCTCTGTAATGCAGCGGTTGCTGTTCAGATTGCCCTCAATACGTACGAGGCGAGATCGCACATGGTAGCCAATGGCCCCAACCCTCACCCGTGGCGTGACAAAAATGTACTAATGCAATTCTTAGAAGTGTAGTTAAGTGATCTCAGAAACTATTAGTGATAATCTAAGCTCATACTATTTGGAATCAGGGCGTGGCACTGAGTAAATCTCGTGCATTTTCTTTTCTGATAATTTTTTATTGTGGACTTGGTAAGTCCTTATTTGGGGGATAATTCACACATTCATAATATTAAAACCATCTTATCACAAAAATGATACATTGTAGAGAAATTGTAAGTACATATTAGGAATCAGCAAATAGTAAATCACATATCTCCTGATGACTTTTCATCGTTGACCGGTGACATCTAATTTATTGCAGTGTTATATCAAGATTTTTTTTTTTTTTTTTTTTTTTAAATAGTACCAAAACCATTGTTGTTGCAGACACTAGTAGTCAAAACATTACTTATGGGTCATGGCGTGTTTTGTTGTTGTTGTCTTCTCAAAATATTTATATCTCCGTCAATTTAGCGTCACACACACATTTCACCAAAATGACTTTTCCCTGATCAATCTCGCTGACGTCATGGCCTCTTGAATTTGAAATGGATCATCTGATTGCGGAGAGTACTTATATGAATCCTCTATGACACTTACAAAATGTTCTAAGAAATTGCTGTATTTTTTTTCTCGAAGAGAGCAAAGCACTCTTTTAAAAATGGCTCAGGTTCAATTTTCAGTAACATTTTAGGCATTTTTGAAAATTTCATAAATGCAATATTTATTACAATAATGGAGATAGACGTTTCTTTCTTAATGTAATATATTCTTCAATATTATATCTTTAAAATATTTTACACATTTTCGAGATATGGGTAGTTTGTGCATAATTTTGAGTGATACCGTTACAATTTTGCATCTTAAGTGTTGTTTATTTGCAAACTTATGTTAATAATTCTAGGTATTATATCAGTAATACCTAGATTAAATTACCTGGAGCACCTGTAGATTAAATTTGAAACTTTATTTTTTATATTAATAACCATACCTAATTACAAATGGACTACCAATTTTAATGCAGAGAAAACATGAATTACACAGGGAAAAATGAAAGAAAACAGATCCAGAAAACCAGTGGACACCTTTAGAACACTGATATTCCTCAATGCAAGGAAAAGCACTTACTCAACGTTTGGTGTGTTACTCCTCTTTTTTCTGCTCCCAACATTGTTTCAGGTCATTCATTGTTTTCCAACCATGAAATTATAGTGTGAGTGTAAGTGTTGAAGGATAAACATTGTTGTAGTACTTGTTTGTAAGTTGTGCCAAAAGTTTGTACTTGTTTTAGAGATTCTGACATAATGTTTTTTCTCCGTCACACATTGATTTTTGAACTTGACTATAAATTTTACTTTAACCTTGATGTGTTATTATTTTAGGTCGGTTTTGGGGACACAGCCTTCCCGATCTACAGGAATATTAACAATTGACCAGAAGACTGCCTTTATTGGACCATCTAATGTTTCATCCGTGAGTGGTACTTACCCGCCTGTTGTCCCAGTTCAACCAACATCTCGATCACAACCCAGTACGATTGTCTCAGAAAGTAAAAGTGATGCTACTACGGCAACACCTGAAAATCGTGATGCAAAGCGAACTTCTTTGAGTGATAGCAGTTCCCAACATTATGAAAGTAAAAGTACTAAAAAGAAGGAAACAAATATAGAAGCATTTGAAAAGTCAACTTTAGAGAATGTGCAAACTAAAGTAGATATGCATGAAAAGGAGAAGAAAATTACAGATGCAATATTAACTACTTCGTGTGCGTTGGCCACATCTTCCAAAACCACTTCTAAAGGCAATACCAGAAATTCAAACGATCACATGTTGCCTTCTTCGTTAAAAGGAAATTATGGAAATGCAAAAAGGTAGGGTTATTTCTTTTGTATGTCAAACCGTTTTAATATATGAATGTTGTATATTTTTTTCCTTTCTGTTTTCAGAAATCTATTGAAAGGGAAAATGTCAAAAACGTCAGATCCCAGTTACACCTGTTTCCCAAGCAATGTGGCAAAATTTCCTAGTGTTGGAAGCCCTGCGCAACTGGTGGAGGCTCCAGTGTTTTATCCTTCAGAAAAGGAATTTCAAGATCCTTTGGAGTACATTGACAGAATACGACCAGTAGCTGAAACATTCGGATTATGTCGAGTTGTTCCACCCCAAAATTTTAGAGTGAGTTCTGTACTGTTATGTAATCTCTTGTACTATATTAATATCTGCATTTTCGTCTACACTTTTGACAAAGGGTGCATCTCTAACCACTCACTTGAACTTCTAAAAAAACCATTGATTAAAAAACATTTCATCTGTTATTCTATTATTAAGTTTTTGATAGTTCAGGGCATGACTTTTAGATTAACAATTTTTAACTTTTTAAAAAATAAAAGTATTTGGGACTAAAATTGATGTGTTTTAATTGTCATTTCAAAATTGATGATTATCCTGGGGAAAATCGGTCAATTAGCTAGTTTCGGACAATTCATACCATTCTGGTAAGATTGAGGGGCCTGGAAAGGAAACTTGTTTAATCAAAATTCTAAATGTACTAAAAGTCCATTTTAAACAGTCATGATGCAGGGTAATATGAAAATGATCAAGATTTTTTTAGCGCAAATAAAACTAAAACAATGTGAAACATCAGTAGGTGACCCATAAAACAGGGGAAAATGCGTTTCTTTCTTTTTGTTGTACTTATTGGAAATCTGTTTCTGTTGTTTTATTTTATATAATGTAAAAATATTACTTTCTCTTAGAAAATGAACGCTGTTATTAAATTATTCATGTAACATGTCACTCCATACTTTGCTGATAGCTATGATTGGACATGCCTTGCATTTTTATTTTGTCTATTTAGCATCAAAACAGTGAATGCTGTGATGTATGGGGCAGAAGTATAACACCCCACACTGTACTCAGTTGAATATGCATAAAGGTATTACCCGCGCATGTTTTCTTGATCCCTTGTTTTGCTGGATGTGAGAGTGATGGGAGGTTGCTTATTTCGAAGACAGGACTATCATTTCAAATCTTTTGCTTGTTTTTATTAGTTAGAAATGTGCACCTCTTTCAAAAGAAAATGTATTTGAGTCGGCAAACAAACTAAAGATTTCATTACATACTATTACTGGTTAAATAACAACAACCTCAATCCATAAAAGGAGAGCTCAACAAAATGTGTGCATAGTGAAGCTACATTTATGTTCAGAAACAAAACAAAGGGCTACCTCAGCGTTATTAGTTCACTAGTCAAGGAAAACTGGACAAAAAACCTGATCGTGATAGTGGGCTATTCACCCAGAGGCTGAAGTTCACACATAAACACTTATTTTAGGTGTATCTAGTTTTCACGAATTATACAATACAAGTGGTAACTAAGGCATCATTTTTAAAAGTAAATATGCTCTTTTTTTATGGTCATGATAGTCGATTTGTACAAACAGTTATGCAGCAGAAAAAAATTACTTAGCATTTAAACTTGTGTAATAATTTTAATTGTTTAATGTCATCTGGCCACGTTAGAAAATAACGTACATGTATTGTATGTGGATTTGAGCTGTTGATACTGACATTTGATGAGTATCATAATCCCTTTGATATGTGTTGTAATTATAGATTAATATAGTAGAAAAATAAAGGTGTCCGTACACGTCCATAAAAATTCATAGCATATATAAGAACTTATTAAACAATCTCTGAAACATTATTACCTTATGTGAATATTCTCCATAGTTTCCACACTACCTCATCTTGAAATATGCGCAAAACTTTTCATTCACTGTCTTGGACTGAACTTCATTTGTTTCACCTTATTGCAGCAGTTTGCTGACGAATAGCATGTCAAATGGAATACTTTCGCAAAATGTATCTGTTCTAGGTGTTGCTCACAAATAATTTTTTGGGTGCAACACACTGTGGCAAAGTCCCACTGCTTCACCATTATTGAAAATTGTCATATTGGTCTCATTTTAGGTGAATTGCATTGTAATGCCATTGTCGCTAGTCAGGAATATACTCTGCACCATTTCACATGTGTTATACCGAGTTCTGCAGCCATGTGTGTTCACCACTCTTAAGAATCCAGAAAATGGAATATACAGAAGAAATGAAAGCAAAAATAAATGAGATGTAAGATAAAGAAAGATCTCCCAATAGAAGTGTGGAGGAAATATGGATGAGATTAAAGAATACCATCAGGGAGTCAGTAGGCGACATAGTTGGTTTCGAGAGAGAGCAGAAGAGAGAAGAATGGTCCTATGAGGATTGTGTTAAGGTAATGCAAGAGAAATGGACAACTGGAGAAAGCAATGGAGCAAGGGAAATGCTACAAGCATACCAAGGCATAAAGAGTTTGAAGAAGGCATATACCCCTAAGACCAATTTTGTGAGAAATAAGGTGGGGATAATTGTAAACAAACTAGAAAGAATTAAGTAAAGATAGTAGAGTATTTCAGGGAGCTTCTGAATCTCATGGATGTGTGGGGAACATCAATGGAGGAAACTATGCAGGTGGAGGAAGAAGAAATGGTGAAAGAACCCAATAGAGAGAAAGTTAAAGAAGCAGTGAGGTCGTTAAAAAATAATAAGTTCTGCCTTCGGAGTTAATCAATGCTGAAGGAGAATGTACAATGCCAACTATTTGGTTGTTGATCAAGAAGATATGGCAGAATGAAACTGTACCTACAGAATGGAATACTGGAACCGTACGCGTTATTACAAGAAAGGAGGCAAGCCTGAATGCCACGATTATCGAGGCATAACCTATTGAGTAATGTATATAAGATCTATACATATTTTGTTAGAAAAAGCCTGAAAAAATACACAGAAACCATTCTGGAAGAATACCAAGCTGGTTTTAGTAATGGAAAATCTACCACAGATAAAATATTTACAGTGAGACAGATAACAGACAAGTGCTGGGAATGTGGTATTTGGTGTATATCATGTTTCTGTGGATTTCAAGCAAGCATATGATAGTATTGCTAGAAATAAGCTGTACAAGATTCTTAGGAATCAAGGAATACCAGTAAAACTGATGTCTTATATGCTTAACACTGGCCACAACCAAAGCAGTAGTGACGTTACAGGGATGTCGAACAGAGGCATTTAAAATCAGACAAGGGTTAAAACAAGGTGATGGATTGGCTCTCTGCTGTTTAGACTTGCTTTGGACTGGGTGGTTAAAGAAATGAACGTAGATTTGAGTAATACGCTCCTATAAAGAACAGTACAGACAGTTGGGTATGCTGATGATTTAAACATTATGGGAAGTTGTACATTGTCGGTTAATGAAACATAACCGAAGACCTAAACATTAAGGATAAGGGAACTGGATTAAGTATTAATACTTATAAAAGTAAAAAAATGGCCCAAATAAGGCAGGGAATGAAAGATTTCACAATAACTCTGAATACAAGCAAAATACAACAAGTAAATGAATTCAATTACTTGGGCTCTGTGATCACTGATGATAATAATGAAAGGACAGAGATACAACAACAAATGATTGCATCCAACAAAACATATTATTCCCCTAGAGGAATATTTAAAAACCAAGAAGTGAACTGGAGGACAAAAATGTCTATGTACAGAGTGATAATAAGAACCATGCTTAGCGATGGGTGTGAAACATGGGTTATGACCCAGAAAATAGAAAATAAATTGATGGTGTTTGAATGAAAGATTCTGAGAGGTAGTTTTGAGACAGTGCAGGAGAATGGACAATGGCGGAGGCATAGTAATACGGAGCTACATTCTCTGTATAAATCCCATAAATTATTATACTCGTAAAACTACGTTGTCTAGTATAGGTAGATCATGTGCAATGTGTGCCATTACAAGAATACCAAAGATAGCAATGGAAGAGAGAGTATTTGGGAGCAGACCAGTTGGAAGATCTAGGAAGAGATGACTGGATAGCGTCACCCCAGATGCAAGGGAACAGTTGGGGATAAGATTATGAAGAAGAGCTGCAGAAAGCGAGTTATTGGCAAGGCCCGAGCCCGACCTGGGTTGTAGCGCCATCGAAGATGATTTCAATACTTTCTTTGTATTGCATGTATGAAAAAATTACTATTGTAATGATTTATGAGTGGAAGGGAGGAAATATATTCCTTATAGAAACAATTGTTTATAAAATATTGTTTCTATGTATTCCTGTATGCCTTATTCATTTTCAGAATTATTGACTTAATCTTCCTAGTTTGTATTATTTATTATTATTTAAATCATTGAACAAAAATCTCTACAGCTTCCTAACACTGGCATTTACAGCTACTTGGACCATCCTGACTTCAAATGGCAGCAGTCAAATGATTTTGATTGTTACATTATTTGCCATCATCTTCCAATTTCTTATTGTCTCAGTGTCTGGATCACTCTAAATGAGTTTCAATTAATGATAAAATGTCAGTTGGATTCAGTCTATGTTCATAAAAAACATTCAATTCTACAGTTGTAGTGAAAGTATTGAAGAATGATTGTCCATGATAATGACTACCTTCTATTCAGCAGCATAGTTTGCACTTAAACTTTTCTGTAGCAATTGTAGGTAGAGGTTTGTCAGTTGTTGGTGGTAGCAACATAGTAATTTAGTCTAAAATATTGTTTTTCTACAATCCTCTCCCATTTTTAAGGTTGTAAATGATTTCCTAATGTAACAAAATGTGATAGAGATGATGTTATGTTGCTGATTGACAAAATGACTAATTCACCAATTAGTTGGGGAAAATACATACATGTATAAAACTACCATTCCCCCGAGATCTTTAGTTGATAACGAGTGGAATGAGTAACAAACACACATATGCACCCACAGGGAGGGAGAGAAATATTAAATTGTCAGTTAATTTAATTAGTTGTTTTTACTTGTGTTCTTTATTATGTATTTTTTAGTAAATAAAAGTCTTTGCTTTTCTTTCTTTTCAGCCTGAGTGTAAAGTATCTGATGACATGAGATTTACTGCATATAATCAGTACGTTCATAAGATGTTGTATAGATGGGGTCCAAATGTAAAAGAGATGATGGCAATAAAGAAGTATTTAGTGACACAAAGTGTTTCTTTCACTCATCCTCCGTTGGTAAGTTATATAAGGCATTTCGTTGTCCTTTTTATAGATGACAAGAAAGATGATATTTATAATTAAATTAATTTTGCAGATTGGGGGTATGGAAGTTGATCTTCCACGTCTCTATCAAACAGTTCAAAGTTTTGGTGGGTTAAAAGAGGTTATTGAAAAGAAACGTTGGCAACGTGTTGCAGATGGCATGAAGATTCCCAAGTCAGCACAAGATAGAGTAACAAAGTTAGATGATATATATTGTAAATATCTTCTGCCGTATGATACATTATCTCCAGGTAATTCATGTAATCTTTAATTTTCTGCAATTGTTGACAGATTATTAGTTTTAGTATAGCCAATAAATTCGTATTAAACAAAAGTAAATTCTAATTTCTTATTAAGAATTAATTACGCAATGATTTTGTTTCGCTTTGATTGTATGTTCATTTGCCATTTCATGGTTGTTTTAATACATAATGTTTGTATTTAAATAGACAAAGACTTTGTAAAATTGAAATTACAAATAAGTTCATTAACTTTTGTTTGAAGTATCATCAGGAAAGTTTGTGTGATATTAGATTAAATGTTTTTCAGGTGAAAGAGAGAAACTTCTTGATGAAGTAGAGCAGGAATGGAAACAGAGGCAAAGTCGCCCACTTTCACAAGAAAGTTGTTCTACATCTGATTCCCCTGAGGATGAATCAGATGCAGATATTGCTGATGAAGAATGTATTGTCAAGGTATGTTACAGTGCAAAGTCTGATAAACCACCTCTATTAAACAACCACCCCTCACTGACAGATGTTTCTTGAAATGGATCCTGAAACTCTTATAATGTCTGTAAATTGTATCCCTGTAAGTAGACCACCTTTCTCCCTGGCGCACCGGCCAACCCTTTAACAGAATTTTCTTAATTTACCCATTTTAAGAGACCACTTTCAGGAAGATTGTAAGAATATAGATCACCAAATTTTTATTAAAGTTGAAAATTTGCGACATAGTAAATGCCATTCATGCAACAAGTCCTTTGCCCGAGTCAGTCTTCAGTCTTCAAGGAAATTGTGTGTTGGGGGGGTGGGCCCAGGAATCATAGAACAATATACAGTAGTCACTAATGTGGCACCACAGCTGCTCGTTCCATTTCTTTCATTTTTTGTAATGTGACAATGAATTTAAAGCTGACTTTTGTTTAATTATTTGGATTACTTGATTATATCCTTTACTACTTCACCTTCCTGAAAGAACATCTGGTATGGAATAATATCAATGTTAGAGTGGTTAGGTTGCATCTAGAATCTGATTCTTGTGCTTGCCCATGGCCCCGCCACTTAATGTTTTGTTTTAATTTTTGTGAGAAAAGTTAGTTTTGAGGCTCCTAAAATTACGATAGTGTCATGTACACGCAAAAGATATATTGAATCTCCACAAGAAAACTTTTATTACCAGTAGATAATTGGTGGGAATACTAAAACTGAAAGTGGTTTAAATGTATATTTAACCAATAGAAGATGGAATTATGATTTTTCTTCTTCTTCTTCTTCTTCTTCTTCTTCTTCTTCTTCTTCTTCTACTTCTTCTTCTTCTACTTCTTCTTCTGCTACTTCTACTTCTTCTTCTGCTACTTCTTCTACTTCTTCTTCTACTTCTTCTTCTGCTTCTTCTTCTTTTCCTTCTACTTCTTCTTCTTCTTCTTCTACTTCTTCTCCTTCTCCTTCTACTTCTTCTTCTTCTTCTTCTTCTACTTCTTCTCCTTCTCCTTCTACTTCTTCTTCTTCTACTTCTCCTGCTACTTCTTCTACTTGTACTTCTACTTTTACTTCTTCTACATCTACTTCTTCTACTTCCGCTTCTTCTTCTTCTTCTACTTCTTCTACTTCCGCTTCTTCTTCTTCTTCTACTTCTTCTTCTACTTCTTCTTCTACTACTTCTTCTACTACTTCTTCTTCTACTTCTTCTTCTACTTCTTCTTCTTCTGCTACTTCTTCTACTTGTACTTCTTCTACTTCTCCTGCTACTTCTTCTACTTCTACTTGTACTTCTACTTCTTCCGCTTCTACTTCTTCTTCTACTACTTCTTCTACTTCTTCTTCTTCTTCTGCTACTTCTTCTTCTTCTGCTACTTCTTCTTCTTCTGCTACTTCTTCTTCTTCTTCTGCTACTTCTTCTTCTTCTTCTGCTACTTCTTCTTCTTCTGCTACTTCTTCTACTTGTACTTCTTCTACTTGTACTTCTTCTACTTGTACTTCTACTTCTTCTACTTGTACTTCTACTTCTTCTTCTTCTACTACTTCTTCTTCTTCTTCTTCTTCTACTTCTTCTTCTTCGTCTACTTCTTCTTCTGCTACTTCTCTGTTTTCTTCATTTAGTAAATAAGTGTGAATAGTCATCTATGTCCATCTAGGCCAAAGAAGCAAAGTAAAAGCTTGCCAAAAGTTTTATTTTTCTAATCTGTTCACATCTACTAAAAGCAGTTAAATTTGTTCACTAAGTGAAAATAGACACTGTCATTAACGTCCAATGTCTAGTAATAATAGACCATTCTTTTGTTAAAACACACACACACATTTTCCCTATTAAGCGACTACCCCCCTAAAATACTAATTTTTTTCATAGAACCAACAGGGGTCATTTAATGCAGGTTTCACTGTAGTTTGAAAATTCTTTCTTTGTACGTATTTTTGAAAACCAGCTAAGGAAATAAAATTATTATTATAATTATAACTAGTGGCCTATAGCTGCAAGAATGCTGCTAAGCAAAATTACACAAAACAATTTTCCAAAGTAACATTCACATTGCTCAAGAACAACAAATGATCTCTTGTAACACTGCAACAATTTTTTATCTTCCACATGCGTGACTTAACATGCAACCCTACTGGTTTGTTTATTGCACTTTTATCTACCTGTAGGTTAAGAAATTTAACATTATTCGCAAAGTAAATAAGTAACCATCAATTCATTGCAAGTCAAATGTTTGTTAAAAAAAAATGGCGATGTACAAAACATCAGTTTCAAACAATTTAGAATAAAAGTAACTAATATTAGTTTTTGGGATAATTATTGTTAATTGTAATATTATTAATAGTTCAAATAAAAAATGTATCTTAGGTAAATTAATCTCATTTTCCTGGCATTCCACCAAATGATACGCTTCTCCGGTAACCATATTTACTGATGATCTGAAGGTGTCGCCAGTGGAAGTTGACGCACCAACTTCCTCACCAAATATCGTGTGGTTAGGTATTGTTAGATTCAGGAGAATTATTTGCCTCCATCTTTTCTCAAACCACAGTACAGAAATATTGTTTAAATAGATATTTCGCTAGCAACACCCCACAGTAGCGTAGTAACGTGCTGCAGCAATAGAATTCATTCACTTACTATGACAGTAATGTCATAAATTTTGGCATAAATTGTGAGATTTTATTGTGTCCAATAAAATACAGCACATACCACAAAATGTTAGGGTTATTGCTGCTTTTTCCAAATTATAGATCTTGTCTCCACCACACTCCACCTCGATTTTTAGCTTTTGGCCTCTGCAGTAATAACACTTAACATTACTTGATATGTTAAAAGCTACAACAAAACATACTTCACAAATGCTGTAATAACATATTGTTGAAATTATACAGAACAGCAGTTCTTTATATACTAATAATATAAAAAAAATTGCTGTTCCTTAACACCACAAATAGCAAATATTGAATGAAGGGTGTCCTTTTCTTTGGAGCCCTGCCATTGTCGTCAGCGTGTCATAAGCAGTGATACAGGGAGCATGAGAATACAGTCGGTACACACAGTATCAGAATGAGCGGAATAACACAATTACATATTTGCATTTTTAAATGCAAGTCAAAATCTAAACTGTTTCATTGTTGTTAGATTTTTCCTGAATATCTAATTAAACCATAGACACCTTTCACATGGCTGGAGTGTGCATAGTTTTCTTACAATTTCTGTGTTTGGTGTTAAGTAATAACATAGATGATTTTTGTATTGTCCCTGATTTCCAGGGTATGTAACAGAACCATAGACACATTCAATACGTCGGACGCTGTATAGTTTTTTTTCAATTTTGTTTGCATTTGAAATGAATAATGCAGATAATAATAATTATTCATTAGTTGCTCATCAAATGAACTGTGTGATGAACTGTGATCTATCAAAGGAGATCCTCCTTTGATACTGATTGTTTGCGAGTATATAGTTCAGTGGTGTCAAACACAGAGCCGGAAAGGTTTCCTGACCAATAAGATATATCTGTTCCTTCTGATGATAATCCTTGCCAGATTTGTAACAAGAACAAGGCCACCTAGTTCCTGAAGTTCAACCAAACTTTCAAACTGCTTTATTCACACTAAGCCCAACTTCAATTTGTTTTCTTCCACTTTGCCTGCTAGAAAAGTTATATTTTGAGTTAACAAACAGTTCCTAATATTTTTTTTTTAATGTGAGGCGCATAAGCCACAAAATAGACCTTATCTGGAGGCTTACAAGGATGAGGTAATTCGCAATTCATGTCATTTCAGATTACATTAATTCCTATAGCTCCCCACATATCAGTATTGTTCACTCAAATATTATTGGACACATATTTAACAATAATATATTAGAATGAAGAGACATTTTAAGCTATTTCACAAAATTCCACGATTTGTCAATTTGTTGAATTTCTTGACAAAAAAAATTGCAACAACTTGCATCCAGTGCATTGTTAGGTCCTTTTACAACAATGTGTAGGACCTTAGCTCTTTAATAATCACAATTGTGTTTTTGCATTGACAAATATTAAACATTAAAACTGTCTAATTGACAGTTAAATCAAGGTATTTTGACTGAAATTTGAAAAAAGTGTTCTGAGAATTTAAGCTCTGCATTATTCTCGTATGACAACAGTGGAACTGAATGGTTTGGTGAAAAATAAAAGCACATTTTATTGAAAAATAACATAAATCTAAGAATTTAACATTAATTCAGTAATAAATACATCTGATTTTCAGTAAAATAATGCAAATTAGTCAGCACAGAGGTTTCTGTTAAATTTAATTCATGGCATTCTTGAATTCTCCAGCGTCTTGTTTAGAATATATTGTCTTGTGCCATTGGGAATGAGGTGAACTCTGATATAAAAACATATTTGTATTATTTCTCTCTTTCCCACCAAGCATGGAAGCTTTCCATGAGTTAAACGCTGTCAATAATGCTCATCGTTCATACAAATTCCGTTGGATTCAGTTGTTCCTTTGTTCACAACCTGTAGTAGGTACATCAAGTTTTTTAACTGGCAAATGAAAGAAACTGTATTGGATGTTTTGCATTTCTTTTACATTCTCAGAAATTTTCAACATTATTTAATACGATTACACTATCCATATTTGTAATAATAAATGTGTAGTGAAACATCATTTCCCTTTAGTGCATAGTATTTATACTGTTTTGTTACATTTTCTACTAGAGGCAGCACCCAAATTCATTGTTGCATTAATTACATTCTAGTCATTATATTATGTAAGAGTTAGATCTATGCCATAACAAAATTCACTTTCTTTCTTTCTTTCTTTCTTTCTTTCTTTCTTTCTTTCTTTCTTTCTTTCTTTCTTTCTTTCTTTCTTTCTGTCTGTGTCTGTCTGTCTGTCTGTCTGTCTGTGTCTGTCTGTCTGTCTGTGTCTGTCTGTCTGTCTGTCTGTCTGTCTGTCTGTCTGTCTGTCTGTCTGTCTGTCTGTCTGTCTTTTCAGTACTATAGCAGAACTTTGTAAGTTCTCTTTGTGGTGATCAAACCTTTTCCATTTTATCTTCAATCATTCCCTGAAATGTATGATGTTATGGAATGTTTCAAAGTACCAGTTTTACGCATTTGGGGTAAGATTCTATTTAGGTATAAGATTAAAGATATTTTTGTTTATCTACCTGACTTCTATTCACAATGAATTCTCACAGAAAGTAAAATAGAAGCCACCACAATACTTGAATTTAAAATTGAAAAATTGAGTTGTGTGGCTTTTATTTCAATTATTAAACTCTTAAATACAAACTTAATAAGGTTGTGTGTTATCTTTGTACAATAATCTCAATAATTACTGAACTTTGCTCTCTAAAAGCAGATAAAATTCAAACAAAATAAAGTATAAAATTGTTGGTGTTTAATTTTGAAATTCGGATCATGTTCCTGATGTTTGTTTAGCAGAAATAAAATGCTGAATCCTTGTGTATTCCACCTTAAATGCTACTGAATTTTCTCCACTGGTAACTGTTTTCTACAGCCTTAGATACACTATCTTCCAATAAAATGCTTGTTTTGTTATTAAAAATTTCTTTTGATTCTTTTACAGGGGAGAAATATGCCTTTGAATGCATTCTATCGGATTGCTCGCAACACAATGGCTATGTGGTTCCGGCAACCTGAACCATCAGCATCTGAGGTTGAACAAGAATTTTGGAAGCATGTGATGTCAAGAAACAGTCATGTATGTGTTCACTCTGGATCTATAGATTCAAGTGGTTGTGGTTATGGCTTTCCTTGTTCCAAAAACAGCCCTTTTGCAAGACATCCTTGGAACTTGAAAGTTTTGACCAACAATAGTGGATCAGTATTACGATCAATAGGGCCTATCATGGGTAAGTTATTATTAAATTATTGACGTTTAAAGAATGTGTGTACATTTTCAGTATGCATGCATACCTGTGCTTGTGCGTGTTTCATAATTCCTTGTGGTTATTGTTTAACAAATTGAGAGTTTGCTACTTGTTGAACTTAAAACATGTGCTCAAGACATTGGCAGAAAAAAAATTCTGTTAGTTGTATCTCCTGTGCGAAAATGTCTCTCGTTCGTTACCGGACAAAATGTATGGCAGAATTGACTGTTGGTCTGGTTGATTCCAACGGCACCCTCCCCTTAAACTCAATGATTCCCCTTAAACCCAGGCCCATGTTGGTTCAGGGCTTGTAAGATCTGGTCTAAGCGATCGAGTCATTACCCATTTCCCCTGTTGCTTGTTTCAAATTTGAGGGGTGTTATCTGAAATAAACATTTTCCTTGAATTTATATTTCTTATGTGTAGAATAGACAAAATTTATGTAATGCTGCAAGAAATGATGATTAAAAAATAATTTTTAGTGGTCCCTGATTTTTAATAAAATCTCTTGTTTCTTTCTCATACATGTTGTGTAGTCTAAATACATAATCAAGTGGGTGTTGCTTTTTTCTCAAAGTGTGTCTATGAAAGACACATGCTCCTTAACAGTACACATGGTTTTTACCCAAGTTGGTATTCCCTGCTCTGTGTGATGTCGCAGCTCCACAAAGTTTGAAAGGGATCTTTTCATTTCTGGAGTTACTTTACAAGTAACCTCTAGAACACATCTGAAAATTTCTCAAAAATGAACACATTCTGGAGGGGAGGGGGAGAACAGGAACTAAGACAGTACAAATTCAAATATTTCCCTCCGTCTCAACAATTTTTTTTCGGCATAATGCATGTAATAGAAAGTGAGACAAAATTATAACATTACAAACACATTTCTGATTGTATCTCTGCAAAAGGTTGCCCCAGGGGGCTGATTTTTGGGGAATCTACGGCATTTTTTACTTTCTTTCATGAGTATAGCCATTATCAATTTGGTTTGAGGGCACTTTTCACCATCATATTTGGCTATATCATTAAGCAACTGGATTTTTCCACTTTTTCGTTACCAGGTCCCTATAATAAGAGTTTCTGTTCGCCGGTTGTTTTTTATTTATTTATTTTTTTCGCAGCATTTCATAACTCTCTCTCTACTCCGTAGCGAGAAAGTTAAAATATAAGATTTCCCAAAAAAACGGTTCTAAATTTTGTTGTTTAAATTTTTTGCGCGAATAAAGTAAAGTTCCCGTATTCATATGTCCGATTTTCATTAAAACTGTAATTTCGAAAGTCGCAATACCTAACTTTCTTTTCCATGATATGACGAAGTCTCTAATTTATTTTTTGATTGGCTGAGTTGATGTCGTTGTATTGATTTTTTCTTGATTTTGGGGTTGGAGTTCTTGATCAGGACATTATGTTATGGGAAATAAAATTAACTGAAGGTGTGGTGAAGGGGCGTGAATGCTTTGGCTGGTGGTTCATGTCTGTGTTGAGAAAGAGTTCTAAATGAAAAACTTTACTGATCATTTCAATTTGTATGGGGGACAAATACATTTGTCAGAGATTACTGTTATAATTAGTTATCTGGATTTGTGCACGTTTTTCATTTAGTGTAAACTGCTACGTTCCAGTAGTATGACGTAGTTTCCCTCAATTTCTCCGATCAGTTTGCTGGGATTAAATATTTACTACTCTAACGGAACTAATGGCCATAGCAGTTGACGGGCCCGAAATCATTGACGTTCATTGGTGGTTGGTCAGGTGATGGTAGTGCAGTGCCACTTCACCAATAAACGATAAATATTGTAGAAAAACACACCTCTATTCATTAATGAGATGAAGGGTGCATACATCAAATATGTACATTTAATACAATTCACAAAATATTTAATATACCCAGTAGCAACCACAAAATGAAGCACTCTGAAATGCCCTGTTTAATTTACATAAAAAGCAAAGCGTGGTTCATCACCAAAAATGACTTCTTACTCTATCCATTGGCCGTAGCGCGACTGTTCTGCTCGTCGATCCTACTCTATGTTGTTGTCATTACAGTTCACAAAGTGTTCGACCCACAGGCAATCGCTCCATTCGTGTGACCGGTGGAGCTGGCGCTATCGCAAGAGTCGAACGCTCAGTCTTGGCAGAATGTGGGCCTGGCCCATCCGCTGCATACGCACTTCCACGACGGTGCGGTGCGCTTAGTCTAGTAGGAATTTTCTACCGGTGGCCCTCGGCGGCATTTGTTCTTAATTTGATGAAACCTGTTGCTGATTTTGTTTTACTATCCACAATGGGAAGGGAGAGTGCTACTTGCCAATGCCAGTATTTATTTATTTATTGGTTTGAAACAGGCAATCGCCCTTTGAATACATATCATTTATTACATAATTACTTAATTCTAAGAATTTGATCACATACAGTATCGCTTTCACATTAAATATTCAGGAATAGTCATTTAATAATACATTTTTAATTTGTATAACTCAGTTTTGATTAGAGTAAAAATCTATACTAAATTTATTTGCTAGATTGCACATTCTCCATAAAGGTGCATAACGAAATTGATTTGTTTTCACAAATGGAACGTAAAAGATATCACTTTTTATGTTACGAAGCCTCATTTCTGGAATAGTTTTGAGTGTAGGTGGATACAATCAATTTCATTCGCGATTAATTTGTTTAGGAATTTTAAATGATTAACTTTCAGTAATGCAATAGACGGTATAAAAATGAGTATGTGCTCATATTTTCTGAGCGTGCACCCAGTGCACGCTCTGTGCACATATGTCTAAAACTTTCAGGAATATTCTTTAGAAAATGATAAATTCTTAATCTGGGTAAAATACTTCCTTAGGCTTCCTAGAGCATATGCTCACAGGACGCAGTTGACATGGGCAAAAGGGTAGGCGCTGTAATAGTTGACTTTGCCAAATCATTCCATGTAGTGTGTAATCATTCCTGCATAAACCACGTATTGAGAAACTTTTGATATTGGGAATAGATACGCTGTAGTGGCATTGTATAGAAAGTTCCTTCAAAATAGGAAGAAGATAGTTTGAGTAGGACAACTGTTTTCAAATATTGACTTTTCAAGATTTTCATAAAGAAGTGTAATAGGGCCTCTTCATAGCCCATAGTAAATGATTTCTCACGGAACATACGTTCAAAAATAGTATTATTCTCAGGTGATTATGTGGTATGCCGGATAGTTGAATTAAAGGATGATTGAAATATTTTGTGACTGGATTCTTGCGATCCCCAGTACATAACTACTGCATCGCAAAGAGGCTTGTGCTGAAGCTGTGAAGGTGGCAGTATCTACTGCAGGGAAGTCATTTTTCTTGCCCCTCTACAACAAATCACAAATTTAGCCAAATCGGAGATTTTTAAATGCCGTCTTGGTACTCTCATTCGTAAGGAACAGAGTGGTCAAGTATTTCATTGTCAAAGTAAAGGAAAGAAAGGGATAGCCTACCTGAGAATAACCATTGCACTATGTTTTGAATTAATAAAACATCAAATGCTCTTGCTGTGGACTTTATATTTATATCTAAATACTCTTCTGTTTATTTGCCATGCTTAAAATATTAACTTAATAAAAATATTAATAATATTATAATATAAATTATAAATATATATTAATAATTCATTACTAATGTTCAATTTTAAATTCCACAGTTTGCTTACTGGCATCTTTAAAGAGCTTATATTAGAAATTGCTTTTTTATGTTTGATTAATCTTCTGATTCTAGGCGTGCACTAATGCAGCAAATATTTTGTGCATTGCCCTAGACATTAAAAAGATTTTAGAATTTGTGTGAGAATAGACATAAAAGTTAGAAATACATGTTTCTGTTCTTATTTGTTTTCTATTTATGTTCCTTTCTGACTTTCATAGGTGTAACAGTTCCCACTCTCCATGTAGGCATGTTATTTACAACATGTTGTTGGTATCGAGATCCGCATGGTTTGCCATGGATAGAGTATCTGCATACTGGGGCAAATAAGATATGGTAAGAAGAGTATGTTAATATTTTGTATGGTTAGATGTATGTATATATAGTATGTATAATACATACAACTAATATATAGTATATTAGTTGTATGTATATATTATATGGTTAGAAATATGTTAATATTTTGTTGTATTCTGCTGCATAAAGCACAAAAGAACATTGTTCAGCATAAATGAGCAAGCATTACTTGTTGAGCCAAAGCCTAATGCACTAAATGGATAATAAAAAGCAAATAGCTCAACTAGGCTGATATTATTATGCATGAATGTATCAGATATTCATTACTCTTTATATGTTCTTCATTTATTTCATTCTATGCCACAAATGTATATTGTAATGATTTTTTTCTTTCAGCAATGTAACAAATTATACATCTATTCATAAGTAAGTCAAAGTAGTTGAATGATTGGTTGAGTTTGTTTCTTTGTCTCTAACCCTCCTAAGTATCCTGCATTGCCAAGTCTTTATTTATCACGATCATCGATTTAATAGGAAAGGAAGTGAATTATATTTGTAATGTGAAGTAGAAGTAATTCTGTACTTCCTCCCACTTTCCTTCACCCCATTCCAGGCCTGCCCCTCCCAACCTGGGATGGTGTTGCTTTGGCTTTAAAAATGGCATAGGAATTCTCAAAGTTTCCTTAATTGTTCTGATGCAAAAATGGCATGAATATTGAGGTCTATGTCTGCTTTATTGACAATCAAATAATTTGTTTGTTGCGTCAGACACGAAATTACAATATTCTCCTATCAATTGATACTCTTATTCTCCTCTTCTCCAGCTACCTCAGAGTGGAACGCGTTTTTAATCTCTGCATTCATTCTAATAGGCATGGGAAGGTATGGGTAATGTGCTTACCCGACAAAACAGTTACATTTTTCAAACCAATTTAATTTGAATTCCAATTAAACTAGTGCTAAATCTGCACATACTTTCACGCAAAATTATGCTAAAAGTACTCAAATTTCAAAACATTGTTCATAACCTTATTTGAAAGTCCATCTTTAAGGAACAGATTTAATTAAGGAAAATATGTATTTTCATAATTTTATTTGTAGGACCCCTTTTTTTTTGAAAAATTGAAGTTTTCTACGAACAAGCGACCTGCGTGCCTGCGCCATCCTCTTAAACGTCGTTCACACTATCCAACAACAAAGCGGCGAGTTTTTCTGCTGAAAATTCACCGCATTTTCGCGCAGCATTGCATAAGCTTGAAACGCGACCAAGCGAGGCTATGTCGCCTCGCCCGTGGGTCGTGCCGGGGCCTCTAGGGCGGTGTCCGCAGCGCAGAAGGCGCCCGCCATGGAGTGAGCTCCACAGGGCGGGTGGCGGCTTAGACCCACGCAATTCTCCGCGGCTCCGTGCGAACATTCTTTCCTTGAGTCGATTAAGTCGAGAGGACAGTAAAAAATTAAAACCACTTATCTCTAAATCAACACAAAATAAAGTCACCTTAAGATTAATGTCACCCCCAATACTCTGCTCTAAAAGCAAATGCAAGTGCTCCACAAACGTCTTTCATACACCTGGCTCTCATCCCACATAGCTTTCCTAACCGAAAACAGTCTGTAGGGTGAGGCGTCTGCAACTCTCCAGACAAAAACCACGCATTTCACATATCCATTCAATAACATGCTTCAGCACTATTGAATTGCAATACTTCAGTCTGCTCTCCTTTCTCTTCCCATGCCTGCTCCAGCAGCTCCAAAAATTTTCAATTGACTCTCTACACTTCATTACATTATTAATGTAAGATCTGCAACATGGTATTTGCATGAATACAGAATACGTATATGGAACTGTAACAATATTCACATTTGAAATTTCTCGCTAGAATTTGACTCCAAATCAACTTCAAATTAATAAGGCAGCCTCCTACATGGAACATGCCCATGCTGCCTTTTCATATACATTTGCTTATTCAGTCATAAATAAACTCCTCTGGAGAGTGGATATTTCAAACATGACATTTTCGATTTTCTATGTAGATTCTGAGGAAATAATTTTTTAAAAGTAAAATTTCCTCAATCCAAATTTTTGCCTGATAAGTTGAAGTTTATAAATAGTAATATAAACATTTCTGTGAATGGAGTATTAATACAAATTTTAAGAAACATTCTGATACTTTTAAATGAATGTCCCTTTTTCTCTGACTTTGATTATACATCCTTATTTTTATACTACCCTTAAAAAGTGTAGGCAGTTCAAGGCTATCAGTGAGGTATCCTTCTACCTTCCCCACGACCAGCTTCCCTGCCGCATTTCCCCTCCTGGTACTATTCTTCAATTTAAATCTAGTGTGCCTTGATGTGACGATTTCAAAGGAGAAGGGGAGACTAATCGGGAGCTTCAATAACCAAAAATTTAAGTCATAATGAAGCTTTTGTATGCTTTTGCTTTGTGTTCATATCGAAACATGTGAAGCGTATGAGAATTAACAATCTCCAAAACGTTAATGTTTCAAAAAAATAAAATTAAAAACATGACTCTCATCACATTGAGTGGGGTTAACATTGCAGCATTCGCAGTGCTGATAGCAGATTTCTTATTAAAAATAGGTAATTTCAAGAACATGGAGGATGGCAAGGAATAGCAGATATTTATGTTATAAATAAGAATCAGACTACTGGTGGGAAGTTGAAGGCTCGTGCAAATCAATTCAATGATGCCTTATTTTTCTTAGCAAGGCTGAGGCCATCGGGCCTGCTCTTCTGCTTGACCATGCAAATTTCATTACATTCCTTTCATCATCTAGCCGCAAACGAAGGTATCACTTGGGTGATGAAACATTAGAATTTAAATTGGAGACTTCTTTTCGGTTTGAGAGCCTTTAACATGCAGTAAATTGACAACATGGAATAGGCGTTTAGTGAGATATGTTGTCCGATTTAAATATAGTGACTCCCTAAAGTCAGAAGTTGGAAGGAGAGGGGATAGTGTCATCCATCAGGAGCTTCGATACCAAAAATGTAAGTTATAACCTAGCACCTGATTTGATAACCATGTCACAGCTAATAATAGCCCAAAGTCACTATATTTAAATCATACAATAGATATGGCAGCAGCACAAGCAGCAAATTCAAGTGAGAGGAAGAAAATGCACAACAACTCTTTACTCTTGAATTACATTCTGAATCGCTCTTGTGTTTATATGAAGGGAAACTGCTGTATAAATTAGAATGCTAGTTATGATTAATATGTGACAATTGAATTTCAGGTATGGTGTGCCAGATTCTTACAGTTTTGTATTTCAATCTGCTATGAGCAAATTGATACCTAGGTATTGTAAAAAGAAAACTATTTGGCTACCATCAGACACTGCCATGGTGCCACCATCTCTTCTAGTCAAACACGGAGTTTCATTATGCCATACTGTTCAAGAGCCAGGACAGTTCATAATTGTTTTCCCAAGAGCGTTTACATCAAGTATTTGCACTGGGTATCTTGTCTCTGAAAGTGTGTACTTTGCTCAGCCTCATTGGCTCTCAAGAGCTGAAGAAGTGTTCAAGGTAAAATATTCTTTGAACTATTATGTTTTGTAAGATATAGTAACAAGTTCTAGTCAAATACATTAATTATATGTTATATACTCATTTGTTCATATTTTTGTTAAAATGCTTCAGAAAGTACTACAAATACCAGTTTAAATAATTTTATACATTACTCATAGTGGAAGAGAAAACACATAAATGGACTAGCCCAACTTTATAAAACTAGAAGTGCTGCAACAGCATATACTCTTTCTTACTACTACAAAAGATATAAATGTGAATAAATTTCAACAGATACAATATTTGCAACACATTATATAAGCAAGCATAATTTCACTTATAAATTAAACGTCCAGAATTGAAGGACATCCTGTATGTCGCCTTAGGAATGAATATATATATATAATGCGAATATATGGTATCATTACAAAATGTCCATCTTATGCAAAAAAATATTCTGTATTTCTTGTGTATATATTCTTCCTGACTAAAAAAGTTGAATGTACCATTTTATTGAACACAGAGGCATCGTAACATTACCGTTCAGTAAATAAAGCCTCCTGAAATTTTTGGATTAACTTCTCAAACTGTCATACCACTGCATTGTAAGGCAATGCTGCATGAAAGATTATCTTAAAACACTGCTGATAAATAACTAATAAACTAATTAAATTACTATTTCTAGTTAACTAATAATAATAATAATAATAACAATAATAATAATAATAATAATAATAATAATAATAATAATAATA